CATAGTTTCCCTTATTTGCAATAACTAGTATATGTCTGAGTCAAGCAGAAAAGGTCAGATAAGTTGATGTTAGGTGAAATGAACCCTAAGATATGTATTCAAATGTTTTTTTCTTTCATGCGATCGTTTCTAACACATTTATAAGATTATTTCTTTGTTGCTTTGTATGTCCCTTCCCTACAGTATAACCCCTTCTTTCACTGTATTTGATGTTGGTATAATTTGTGGAGGGGAAGGGGAAAAACAAATCGTTTCAATAGGGATACAGGTGGACCCATTGCAACAATGAGATGTACAAGACATTATGTCAAAAAGGAACTTTACAACTTTGGTGAGGGGAGGACGAGATTAGGTGGGAAGTGGGGGAGGCTGGGAAGGGATGGGAAGGGGAAACTAAGGAGGAGGCTACAATGCTTGATAAGAAATATACTCATTATCTTGCCCATGTAATTGTAACCCCTCTGTACAGTATTTTCACAATAAAAAAAGAAAAGAATTGTTGGAAAATCACCAAAAAGCTCAGCAAATGAAACATGTTCCTCAATCTTTCCACTGATCTTTTTGTTCTTTATTCTATCTTGTGTTTTACTTTTCTCACTACGATTTACTCTCTGCTTCATTTATCATTGATCTCTCATAAAATTGTTACTGCTTTGGTGATTTCTTCTATTTTGAATTCAGGGAAAAACAGAATGTAAACCTCTCTGTTTCCAGTTTCTCTCTCTGTTCTACACATATTTACAGAAATCCAAAAAATTTTTGACCAAGAGTTAATCTCAAATTGTGTCTCTAGACTCTACTTGTGTCCTAAAAAATGAACATCTTTTCCCCAATAAATATATAAATACATAAAAACATTGTTATTTGAAGGTATATACATCTGTATTAAATTCCCTAATTTTGAGCTATAATGTGTATTTCATAAACTCTCATCTAGTCACTGAGTGTAGCTGTGAAAGATCTCTAAAAAGCACTGTGACAAAGAACCCTCATTGGAGCATATGAAGTTGGTTGCCAAAGAATTAGTGGACTTAATAAACTACCACAGTTGCTCAAATAGCCTAGCAGACCCTCCAAATTGTTGACAGTACGGTTGTGATAGTGTGCATTCATCTCCCATTACCCACTTTTTGGATTAAAAGCATGTGTGTGTGTGTGTACATGTACATGCATGTTCACATGGTGGCTCCTGCTAAACAGGTACACAAGAAACCATTGAAAGAGTGACAACATGTCACTGGGTTGATATCCTTGCAGTTCACAGATGGTCTTGAATTGTATTGGAATGACCATTCAGTGCCAAATACAGTAGGGCCAAGGTCATGTGACAAACAGTTATTTCTGGTTAGAGGTTTGAGGACTTACTGTCCTAGGTTAGAAAACAAGAGAAAATGTAGAAGGTAGCTCAAAGCTCCAAGAACTCCACCTGCTGCTTCCCTTCTCTTGCCCTCTGGAAATGTGTATTTATCCATTAACAGCTCTTTCTTGTGCTTGTACATATGGCCAGCTGCATCAGAGTAAGCAGGTGCCCCCCAAATATGTATCAATAAAATGAGAGGAGCAGACCTGGGCAGCTCTTACCCAAGAGGTCATTCTGCGGAATCCAATCCATGATTTTGACATTTGTAGCCAATTTGAAATTGTTGGGCCAAAGAGAACTCTACAGTTCCATATCAACCCTTGAGGAAGAAGGGCCAAGGTGTTGTTCATCTCCTCCAGTAATGTTTGGCTCTGAAACCAGTTCAGTATTGAGCCCAGGGACACAAGAACAAAAACAGAGATTTCAAAAGTTAGAAATGAAGTTCTCCAATTCCTAGAATAAGACAAAAACATAAAAGGAGGTTACTGAGTTATTAGTAACATTTTGTAAGGCAAATATGAAATGCAAATCAGACAGTTTACTAAATATACCCAACTATTGGTGCCTTGTACTCACTTTCCTGACATTTTTTTCATGGCCTATTTCATAGCCTAGTCACATTGTATGCCTGTATTATGCTCACGTTTATAGTATCTGAATAGCTTACAAGTTAGTTTTCTAATACTGTGCACTCATTTTGTCATATAAATATGTTAAATAATAAAGGATGAGTATGGAAAGGGATTTAGGTTATTATTTACCCCACAGACTTTATTTCACATGAAGTATTTATGGCATAATGCAGCAATAAGTGCTATAGATGCTGAATGTTTCACTATTTTCTGGAATAGAGAAGATAGGATGGGTAGAGGTATCTTAGTACATTGAACTCCTGAACCTAGTATCAGCATCCTCCTCATTGTACACTCTAGGTCCTGAGAAGTATGGAGATTCATAAATTTTTCAAGGGATGGACCAGAGATGCTAATGGCTAGCAGAACATACATGGGTGAGTTAGAAATTTTGGGAGGACATTATTGTCATAAGAATTGGAAGTAGAATAAGGTCAAGTTCTTTGACATTACTTTTAAACTTGTCTCCCAAATTTAGAAACTCCTTCCAGCAAAGACAACTTTCTTATCCATGCATCATTCCCATCTCCTGATGTCCACTCAAGGCAAAGGCAGGGGCTAAAGGGAATTCATTTGATTCCTGGAAAATCCAGATCCCATCTTACTGTGAGCTGAAAGGTACTTTGAAGGCCTCCTATATCACCTGAGAATTCAGGCCACCCCTTTATAAAAGTGGCTATAAAAATTACAGAAAAATGGGCTGGGAAGGTGGCTCAGTGGTAGAGTGCTTGCCTTGCATGCCTGAGGCCCTGGGTTCAATTCCTCAGCACCACATAAGAAAAAAGCTAGAACATTTGGTGCAATTACCAAAATAAGAAATAGAGGAGTTCCGGGAAGATGGCGGAGGAGAAGCTGGAATCTGAACAAGCTCTCACATAGAAAGCAGTTTTAGAGTTCCAGTGAACAGTCCTAAGCCAGAGAATCACACCAAGTGTGCCATCACAGGACAGAGAGTTAGACAAGAGAGGGAAAGCCAAGGCAAGAAGACACATCTGAGCGCTTGCCAGCAGCCGCCGCAGTGGCGGCGGCAGGGTCGAGGCGGAGACCGCAGCCGGGGCCATAACTGAGCGCTCACACAGAGAGTCCGGGACGAAGGAGCCAGACGCAGCAGGCTAGCGGATTCTACTCAACACCAGCAAGAACCGACAAGGAGCAGACAGCTTCATCCTGCAGTTTGCAGACCAGAGACGACCCAGGATCCAAGACTAGGCGTGAGTAGAAGCCCGACATCCTCACTCCTTCTCAGGGAGCAGAGGAGGGAAGGCCACCCCTCCCC